AGCCAGCTTACTTACTGCGCAGTTACTGCTGTTAATTTCAGATGGTTACAGTTGTTGTTTTCAATAGCCAAAACCCAGTTTAGCCTGTTAAATACCAAATAAACATCTTGTTTATGTGTACTTTTATTCTTTCTTGTTTGTTGCTTGATAGAAAAAAAAAAAATCGGAAATCGGTATCAGAATCGGCCAGTTTGCTTGTAAAAAATCGGTATCGGAATCGGCTATGAAAAATCATGATCGTGCATGACTTAAAGACTTAAGTACAGAAGTACTTGCTTTTAAAAGTACTTAAGTACCAAAAGTAAATTTCCTTTTTTATGTCAATGCACCGTTTTATTATTGTTGTATGTAATACTTGCAATACCTTATGCCTCTGAAGCAACTTACAATGCATTACGCCTACTGAATACAATGACTAGCCTGTAGTATCTTTGGAATGAAGAGCTTTTAAAATGTTAAAAACCTATTGAAATGAAACAAGTGAGTTGACCAAAAACACATTTTTATTTAACACCCCTACCCACCCCCACAAAAGCAGCATGGTGATCTAACACAGCTCTGGCAGTGTGTGAACATCTACGTGAACCAAGTGGATAGTGAAATTGCTGTAAATACGGACTAAGGAAAAAAAAAAAATCAAACATGCTTTAAAACTCAGAAACACTACTGTAGCTGTTTAACTTTACAACAGCAACACTGCTTTAACACAAATTTCAAAATTGCTCTAATCGCTCTTGTGGTACTTTAATGTAATGCACAGAACGGTCTGTGCAGTGCTGTCTCAAGTCAAACACCCACTGTGCTTTTTTAGGAGATGCACAACAGTTCTTCCGTGGCTTTATAGGTAATTTTTTCGTTTACACAATTTTGCAAAATCAGACAATATTGTGTCTAATTATATATATATATATATAAATTGTTAAATTTTATGTTGCTGGCATTGGAATATTCTCTAACATAAGTATTCCTAAAATTGATTTGTCAGCTATAACAAAGTAAACACCAATTACGATTTAATGTATTTTCTCAGCATCATCACTTTTGCCACCCATAAATAAAAAAAAAAGTGTGTTCAGCAACCCACTCACTGACCTCCTCTAATGGAGCAGGCTTTTTGTCATTTTCCGGTTCCACTCGAACTCTGACAACTCCCGATTTATCCACAACCTCTTGAATCAGCTTCCCACTCTTGCCAATGACTTTTCCTGCAGGACAGGGTAGAAAAGAATTTAATGATTGCCATTTAACCATCATGGTGCAGGACAGCAGGTCCAGTCCGTGAAGGAGAAAGCGGTTCATTTCATTTGTCCTCACCGACTAAATTCTTAGGAACTTTGATAACATCTTCAGAAAATTCCAGGTAGCTTCTGGCCTTCCGTACAGCCTCCTGGTCCTGGAATTCAAACGAAATCCATCACAAACGTCAAACCATCTCAGATATCTGTGTTTTGGGCTCACATATTCTAATAGCAATCGCATGTAATTGTGTTTACCCATACCAGAAAGTCACCAATAAAGCGGTTACCTCTCCATAGATGTGAAACGTGCAGGTCTCTTCATCGAGATCTATGGTGGTGACCCCAGGAATCTTTCTGGCCTGCTGGATATTCGCCCCATGGGTGCCTATGGCCAATCCCATGAGGTCATCCCGCACCACAAATTGCTCATGGAACCTTGAAGCAAGTTGCCGAGAACTCTGGAGGGAAAAAAAGGCCAATTTTAATCTTACCAGTGTTCTGATATACACTTTGTTTGTTTTTATTATTCTAATATTACTTTTTCATTAGCCTAGGGTTCATATCAATGCACATATTAAAGGGTTAGTTCACACAAAAATGACAATTCTGTCATTAACGGGAAACCCCAAAATGAAAATGTTGTCATTAATCACTTACCCCCATGTCGTTCCAAACCCCTAAAAGCTTCGTTCGTCTTCGGAACACAATTTAAGATATTTTGGATGAAAACCGGGAAGCTACCACACGGATACGTTGTTTTCGTTCAAATCAAAGCACAAACAATGTAGAAAACGTATCCGCGTGACGCAGCTGACACAGAACAACATACGCTGTTTGCGTTCAGTGGATACTCTCCAAAATGGCGCTAGGGTGACTCCTCGGAGACAAATTGTTTAAGTCTTTTTTTTTTCTTTCTTTTGCACACAGAAAGTATTCTCGTAGCTTCGTAATATTACGGTTGAACCCCTGATGTCACATGGATTATTTTACTAATCTCCTTGCTACGTTTCTGCACCTTGATCGTAGTAATTACATTGCTGTCTATGGCAGGACCAGAGAGCTCTCAGATTCCATCAAAAAATATCTTAATTTGTGTTCCGAAGAAGAACAGAGGTCTTACGGGTTTGGAACGACATGAGGGTGCGTAATTAATGACAGAATTTCATTTTTGGGTGAACTATCCCTTTAACTTATTAAAGGGGCAAACAAATATTTTTTATGCTTATTTTAATGCTTATTGTACTTGATGATGCTATGTTATGTTTAATCTTTGCAATTCAAACCATTTATTTTCATGGTTAATCAGTTCGGTTTTGGCTGATAAGGAGGATGCTTGTACATCATTAGATTTTTGAGCACATCTCTACTTGTGAAATTGCTGCGCTGCCTGACACACAAGAGTGCTCTCCGCATAAAAATGAGTTCAAAAGCCATCAGCAGAGTACACTACAAGGCAAAGTCTTTTTAGTCCAGCTGCACAAGTAATGTAAATACATTATCCAGCACCGTTTAGCGCACATATTTGCAAAGCATATTCTCCAAATGAAATATATTTAACTGCTGTGTAACTGCATTAATACAGCAGTTTTGTTTATGGACTTCAAGTGTATTCAATAAAACGGAAGTCAATGATAAAACCAAAAAAAAAAAAAAAAGAAAACATTAGACATTTGTTAACTTTATCCCAAAATTCACTGAGCAAAAATAAATATAAAGACACACACGGGTCAAAGACGAGACGTCCCATTTTGGTGACTGCATCAAATTATATTTACAAAAGTGATTTTATTTATATACACAGAAAGCATATTAAATGCACGTACAGTGTATGCTTTAATATTTCAAATAACGTTTTGGAAAATAAAATGTCAAAATATGGGTGAAATCATGTTCACTCATCATTTAGCACAACAGATATATTTACGTAAAAATGAAACAACATACTTATTCTGACCTGTACTTATTAAAATATATACAATAAGTGATCATACCACATTTCATAAAAAAAAGAAAAGCGGTATTAAACTTTTATTGATTTCATGCTTGAAAACGCCTTTTCGTCTTTGACCCCCACACAAACATCTCAAGTGCCTATAATTTCACCACAACATTCTGAACACAATATTTAGTAACAATCTTTAAAGCTTTCACACTTCAAAAGCTAAAACAATACCTATATGCAGCTTATGCATCGGTAAATATAGCTCTGCATATCAACAGAGTATCATATTATGCCAAAGCAGGGATATGGACCATCACAGCTGTGCATATGCATGTAATACCCTTTTACACCTGTTAAATATAGACTGTCTCTTCTGATACTCCATGCATTTGTGCCCAGTGATATGCTGCAGGATATTCTAATGGTAATACACCAAGGAATTTATGATAACACTATCAGCCTTTCTTGAGTCAGTTATATTACAGCAATAAAATATCATTAAACTATTGCAAAATAAAATGTATATATATTTTGCATAAAATATACATTTTGGACTTGACATATGACTGTTTTGTAAGCATTATGAGTGAGTGTAAGTGAGCTGGGAGAACCTGACACTAAACGTCAGGCAGTACCTCCAGCTGTCGGGTTGCTTCCTCATTCCTCAGTATCAGCGTCAGCTTTGTGCGCAGACTCCTGAAGTGCATGTCACTCAACATGGCTATTCGCTTTGCTGTAACTTCATTAACAGACTGAAATAAAGAGAAAAGAATCAACTTAATGCAACTTAAAAATGTGAAATCAGAAATCCTTAAATTGATTTGAAACACTGCATATTACCAAAACAACCAACTGCTTTTCTTCTGAGTCATAAGTGACGTTAAACGCTCCGATCGCTTTTTTGAAGTCTTTATGGGCAGAGTCTTTCGCACACCTATCAAAAAAAAAAACCCTGGTTAAGGCACACATTTGTACAACAGCATCCCAGTTTGAAGTTTGAAAGCTAAACAAATAATCTACTTAAACGTCTTACATCTGTCTTAAGTCTTCAGGAACATCTAGTCTGATTTTGAGAAAGGTGTTCTTTGACGCGGCTTTGTTGGGGTTCACAGGTCGTAGCCTCTCTAATGTGACGATTTCATTTAGCGTTGCATCACAGGCTGCGTATTCTATCACATAAAACTATAAGTGCAGGACAGAGAAACAGAATATAGTTACAACACAATACATAATCAGCATACATAACCGGCTTTACTAACAAAATGCGCATGACGATCGCATTCGATTAATCGTGCAGCCCTACATGCAAGTGTATAGAAGTCAGGAGGGCCCTTGAATTTTGTTTCATAATTTTAATGACCATGTTTATGTTACATACTTTGCTTGTACTTATCTGTCCATCTTCTACTTCTATAGAAGGGAATCTGGTCACAAAATTGCTTACCTCTCCTTTCACCATGCGAACTTTGGCTAGCCACCATCCACAGGGCTCTTTATCATTGGCCCTTGAGTAAACCTGTGGAAGACACAGGTTAATGTGGTAAATTCACAAAAAGAGTTCAAAACTTCTGTGCATTTGTGTAATAGTTGTTTAATGTTTAAAGAGCTTTCTCCATGTTTTGCAATATTTGATAGCACATACCTCCACTTCATCACTCTCGTTTATCTCTTTCTGAAAGCCGGTTGGAGGTGGAAACCGGACATCATGGAAAGGAATCTGTCGTTCTGGCTGCCAACTGCAAAGCGATAAAATATGGAAACCTTTTTTTTTTGACATTTTAGGTTTTTCTTTGCATAATTGCATAAGGAACCAATAGAGTATCACCTTCAGAATTCATTAAGTTATATATTAACTTATAACAAGCATACATTAATATTGAAGACAAAACAAACCATGTAAATCTGATTGTGAGACTATTTTGTCCTCACAATATATCTGTTTTGGTACTCACTTGTTTTCAAAAGACACTGTGACTGTACTCTCATGAACATCCTTAACAAGAGCCTGTAAGAAATAATGAGGTATTCATAAAGAGCATTTAATAATGGACATTTTGGGGCATCACAGGTGCCTATAATGTCCAACAACTTAGTCAAAGGTGAATGATACTAACAGAATTATAACATTTATAATAAAATTGCAAAATAACATAACAATGATGTAATAATATATAATATTATAGTATAAACAATTAATTTACTTGACTTTAACATTATTTTAGCTGTCTATAAATACAGGCTAAGTATAATTGATAATTATTATTATTATTTGAGTGGATCATAACTAGAAAAACAGTGTTAAATAGAACAAAATACATTTCCAGTTTTTTTTTTAAGTGACTTGTCAGTATTGTATTCATTTCAGTGACTTTTTCCAGGTGTGGAAACAAGCATTTTAAAATCCCCTGATATTCCCAGATTTGCCATGAACATGGACACATGGTTGATTTATTATTAGCTGCAATATATATCATAACTTCATTGCCCTGAACATATGGATGATTGCATTTGAAATCATTCAGATTCAAGAAACGGATCAATTACTATTAATACCATTTGCATTGTCATTTATTAAAAGTCTAGAGCCATAAAGATATCTTCATGCTGTATAATGAAATACATTAACATCAATTAGTGGAGGACTCAGTGTACAATACACACATCCAAACAGAACCGAGCCAGCACACTGACACACTCAGGTGTCAAAACAGCTGATATGCATTAATAATATGCGCGACATCAGATTATTGCGATGAATCTTTAAAGCCTGTTCATACAAACACACGTCGAAGAGGCCTTGTGTTACAGGCAGACTGGGCCTAACGTTACTGCACTATCGTGCATTGAGATCTGCGTTCACGACGGACTGAATCATATTTTCCAAACACTATTTTCATCATCAGGTGAGTTAGACACTCACACAGGAGGCATACAGCACGAGATCTGAAGCCCACCTTGTAGAAAGCTCCGCTCGCTCCTCGCACTTCCACCGCGAGCTCGTCCATGACGCCAGTAATCTAATACACAACTGATCACAGCTGCAGCAGACGCACGCTCCCTTTATCACACAGCAGCGTTATGCTCGAACGGACTCGGAACTACCGTGCGCACCGATGATCGTGCTCGTTTTTAAAGAAATGAAAGCAAAACATTGATGTGTAGACGCTCTGCAGCAGCCGCTGTTGAATGCATCGATGTAAACACAAGAACCTCCCAATTTCCCCCGTCACGTGACACGGGCCCGCTTCCCTTCACTCGAGAGGGCACGCCCCCGTCACGTGACAATCATCGGCTTCACTTCTTCTGCAAGCATTTTTTAGGAATTAATGTGGCCTGGCCTGTTATGTATTTTTCCCCTAAAAATATATACCTAAAAATATGATCTATTCTATTTAAATAAACTAAACTATTTAAATGAATGAATGAATGAATGAATTCTCCTTCCCGTTACTAGTTTTTTTTTCAGTGATCAATAACATTATACTTTTTACAACACAATAAATAACAGCGATTAACAACCATAAAGAATTAAAAATACACACAAAGATAAAATGCTAAATTATCTACTTAAGTAGTGAAAAAGCTAATATTTTATAAAGCTAACAAATATAATTTATAATCCTAATTGTTTTGTTTTGTTCTGTTTTACAATTTTTAACTGCCAATTTACTGTCCTGTTTCACAATACCCTAAAGTTAGGTTTTCAACTTAATTTACATTTGTCTAGTTCATTTATGTAATACTAGAATTTTCTCAACATTTTTAATAAATACATATTTTTTTGAGCATACCTAAATTAATAGTTCACTCAAAAGTGAAAACTCTCAGGCCATCCAAGATAGAGGTGAATTTATTTCCTCATTGGGAGAAATGTAGCATTACATCACTTGCTCACCAATGGATCATCGGCAGTGAATGGGTGCCGTCAAAATAAGAGTCCAAACTACGGTGTCCGAGAGAGCTCAACGTACTGCAAATGGAAAAGAAAAAAGAAAAAGAAAAACACATGCAAATAGAAAAAAACACCAGCAAATTAAAGGGGTCATATGATGCTGCTAAAAAGAACAGTATTTTGTGTATTTGGTGTTATGAAATGTGTTTATGCGGTTTAAGGTTAAAAACACATTATTTTCCACATACT